TATAATGCTGGTAGCAAATAATCTATTTTAATTATTGTAATTTTATTAAAGGTATTAATGATTTCAATTGAAAGACGAAGAGGAAGAACAATTTTCAAATAAATTAAATCATTTAAATGGGCGTTTCTGAATAAAATATAACGTAAAGTACTTTTTGTAGCAAAATATCTACTAGTAATATAATATTTGATAGTAACATGTCACTGGATTTTCACACTGTACAAGAATAGGTACAATCCAATAAAAATTCTTAAATTACCATTATAGTACCAGATGGAAACCTAATAAAATTGGTGTACACCACTTCCTATTATTCTCTGTACATTTGAGTAAAACCTACGTATTTCCCTTCATCCCTTACAACTTACATTTCAAATTTCTTTTGAATATTTTTATAATTCTTACACTGGCATGTCTTCAGATAATTAAAAAAACCTACATATTTAGATATCAGGTGTCCTTTTTGGTTCCATTTTTAGAAACGAAAGATTGGCTTCAATTCTGAAAATATTACAAACTGAAACTTAATAACACTTTTTATTCAATGCTCGTCACGTGACTACATACAAATTGTTAACAATGCATTTCTGACTTTAAATTTCTACATTTAAAATCAACAAAAACCCCGATATAGGTAGGTACTGGATAAAATTTTTTTTTTTAATTTCATATTAAAACAGTATTTATCATATAAGAAAATGTATTGACAACTAAAACGCATTTTTATAGGTTGTCAATACGAACTTTGCTCCAAAATACCGGTTGATTGCGGCACTTTCTCAATAAAGGGACTTTAGACCAAAAACTGACATCTGTATCTACGCAAGTACTGTTAAACTGAACTTCAATATACATATAATATAATTTACACAGGTTACTTAAGATAAAAATACCTAACGACCAAATGGAGCAAGTTTAGTTAAATGTTATCTTTTTTTGACACCAATAAATCAGTGGCACTCCCTTAATAATCAATGACTGCGATATTATTATGTCCATAAAAGTTGTACGGTGCCAAATCAGGCAGTGGCTGACAATTAAAATGCGATTTTTTGGTCAAAAAATCGGCCAACAAGTGTCGATCCGCGCGTCCGTCCTTTTCGCGCGATATTCTGGCGGATACGAAGCATCTAACGTTCAAAACGTTAAGAATTGTGCATTAGTAGTTTGGCCCGGTGGAACGAACTCTTTGTGGACAATGCCCTTGGAATTGTAAAAGCAAATCAACATTGTCTTCGTTTTTGACTTCTCCAAATGAGATTTTTTGGATTTTGGGTCATCTGGCGCCTTCCACTCGGCACTTGATGTTTGGTTTTTGGATCATATTGAAAACACCACGTTTCATCACCAGCCACAATGTTGTAAAGGCAGTTTTTGACCTCCTTGATGATGTCCTACCAATGTTAAAATCTGAGCAATTTTTGGTCGTATGTCAACCTGTGCGGAGCAAAGAGTGCACACACTTTTTGGTAGCCTAAATGTTCGACCAAAGTGAGACAAATTGATTTTTTGAAAAGCCAATCTATGAATTTCAATAAAGATTTTGGCTGATCTTTTGATAAATTCACGCACAGTTTTGATGGAATCCGCAATGATCACGGATCTCGGTTGTCCAACATGTTGCTCATTATTTATATCCTTCGACCGTTTTTAAACCGCTTATACCACTCATGAACTCTGTCACGGTATAACCAATCATCACCACAAACTTGGTTCGTCAATTGAAACGTTTTAGTACAAGTTTTACCAAGATTAAAACAAAACTTAATTCGATGCTCATTTTTGTACCGATGACACAAACTACTGTCACTTCACAAGAGATATTAAAAATGTTGGATGGCTTACGTAAGAGCATATGCACATCCTGCCACTGCTATTGCTATTTTATTTTTTTAGCACAATTATGTAATTACTTAGATACGCAATTAAGCCTATACTTTATTACCTTCCAGATTTTTTGTCTTTGTAGATAAATACAATTTTATTAAGTTTTATCCATCATCATTTTTTGTTAACGGATTTAATTTAAAAATAATTTATTATTTAAATTAATTCAAACAAGATCATAGAAAATGGTAAAAATGGTCATAGGCTTCATTGCAAGCACTCTGCCTTAGGCACAAAAATCTTACTCTGACACAAATATGATGATGATTGATACTTAATTAACTAATACTGTTTGAATGCGTTGTATTGCATTTAACTAAACGAAGTAAACAGGAAAAGTATGCATACATAACTTTCACTAGGTGTTTGCATAACTGCGCTATCAAAAAGCAAAAATCAATTACATACATAATTCTTTTGCATATTATTTACTGTAAGTATAACAAACCCAAATTTCATTCAAACTGCCAAACTTAGTTTAGAAAAATTAAAAAAGATAGAAAAATAAAAAGCCTAACACCTTGTATCTCTGAAAGTAAGCAAAAGCGGATCCAATAATGGACATGGTCGTCTTATTTTTAGATAATGAGTTTTTATACAATTTGTATAACACAAGATTTACATTTCCTTATACGAAATACATTCCTTTGCTGATACTTTCTAGAATTTTCTACATTGGGGCCTTTATATAAAAAAAATAGTGTATTGTCATCTAATAATATTTTACAATGAAAGTGAATATGAATGGTACAGGTAATTTCACGATTAACTCGTTACATAAATTTTTATTTGATTAAAAAAAATATTCCCATTGTTATTGATTTGTGTTGTCTTAAACTACAGACATGTTACTGCATAAAACTTTTTTTGTGTAACTCCTTTCTGTCTCTGTTGCTAAATAAAAGAAGAAAGGCAGTGGTATGAGATTTTAGTTGAATTCCTTTAATATACGGCATAGTCTAGTCAGCAAAATTCGTTTCAGTTATATATTAAATTTTAATTTAAATATTTGAGAAGGTTAATTAAAGATCAGATTAAAGAAGCTTATAAGAAGTATCTAGACAATGTCCAAAATTCAATTTCATACAATCCATAAAAATTTTGATCTTTTATTCATTCAAAAAATAGATGCACTAGAATACCCGGCAAAATGAGGGATGGGAATATTTGTTTAGATAATTCTCAAGACATCGTCAATGCTTTTGCAAAATTTTTTGAGTGTTTCCATTCCATCGACTTCTGAACTCAGTATCTCTAATAATAAATCATGTAATAACTAAGCATTCATTAATTTTGATTCTATATCTGAATCTGAAATTTTATTAGCTTCCAAAAAATTTAAAAATAAAATGACATCTGGGACAGATAAATTACCCTCATTCATTATAAAAGATTGTATATCTGTATTCGTTATTCCATTAAAAAAATTATTTAACTTATCCTTGAAGACAGATATATTTCCACTTGATTGGAAACAAGCAAAGGTGTGCCCAATTTTTAAGAATGGCAACAAAGTGAATATTGAAAATTATTATCGTCCTAAATCTATCCTTTCCAATTTTTCAAAAATTTTTGAAATTATTCTATATAATCGTATATACAATGTTATTATGGGTCAGTTGGAACAGCACGGTTTTATGATGAACAAGTCCACTGTTACAACTTTGATAGTGTTTACTCAATTTGTATCTGACACTTTAGATAAAGGCGGTCAAGTGGACAGTATTTATACAGACTTTGCAAAGGCATTTGACAGGCTCGACCACCAAATCCTTTCACGAAACTTGTCAAATTTAGCTTTAACAGCAATGCGGTATCTCTATTTAAATCACACTTAAATAATAGAGCCCAATTCGTTTCATATAATGAGTTTGTATCACCCAAATACTTTGCAACTTCAGGAGTCCCCCAGGGCTCAAACCTAGGGCCTTTATTATTTCCAATTTTTCTATTAACGATATTTGTAAGGTAATTGATTTTAATAAACTATTATTTGCTGATCATATAAACAAATTGCATCTTAATATATCAAAATGTAAAATTGCTTCTTACAGTAAGAAGAAATTATCCACTATTTTTGAATATGTATATAATTACTGCAAGTGCAAACTCTCGCGCTATGAAAGGATCTTGGTGTACTTTCTGATTATAGTTTATTCTCTCGGGAACACATATTTACTAAATTAAATGAGGCAGCAAAATCGTATCGTTTCATATTAAGAAACTGTAGAAACATTAAAACTATAAAAACATTATATTATTCGTTTGTTAAGTCTAACTTAGAATATGGTTGCATCATTTGGAATCCACATTATCAATGTCACAAAATCAGTATTGAAAGAATTCAGAGAAAGATTTTAAAATTTTTGTACTTTAAAAAAGTTGGAACTTATCCAGAATTAGATATACAATACAATACGTTACTGACAAGGTTTGATAATACCAGTTTAGATCTAAGAAGAACATGTTCCTCACTGTATTTTTTATTATTACATAATAATATTGATTGCTTTGTTTTTCTGTCTCAAATTCAATTTAATGAACCTGGAGAACACTCAAGACATACGAAAACCTTTTTTCTTAACATTCCTGGAACTAATCTTACTTTAAAATCACCTTGTGTGATATCAGTTTTGATAACTTTGAGCGTATTTTAGATGTTGCTATACAATTACTAAATCGGGAAGGTAGGTATCTTTTGATATGTGGATTATCTTTATATTTTTTCTTTTGTCTAATTGTTTCATAATTACTGTACCAAGTTTGCATTGTATCAGTGTTTATGTATAGATAAGTATTTATATTTTTTAGTAGTTAAATATAATTGCTTTGTAATGGGTAACTGTTGGGCAATAAAGCTATTATTATTATCCAGAATTTTCTCAGAAATGTCTGAATTACCCTAGATAATCCAGCATTACCTCTGCATTTCCTTACAAGTGTACGACAAACTCCCTCAGCGGTTTACCCATCACACATTGCAGTGTGAAACTAATGCGCATTAACATTAAGATAACCACGTGCCAGTGAAATTTAATTCATCGTGTTTACGAGAGCGGATATTTCAGTCAACCTAGTTAGGAAATAATATGTTTAGTATAATTTCAACTCACCTATTTTCTTTGTCGGTCTGCGAAGAGTTGACGGCGCCCGAATTATGGTCGGCTTTACAACATACGTGATGCTACGTTTATGTGAAAGAGTCGATTTCTTCCGGCGGACAGGCCGCCTTTTGGGGACAGGAGATACCCCCGGGGGAACGTAAGGACTGCCACACTTGGAACTACCGTCGTCACTGGCCTCGCCACTAACTACTCCCGAGACGGTCGACTCTTCAGATACCGGAGTAACGCATGCAAAGTCGTTAGACGGCGAATCGAAATCATCCTCTCTGAGACTAATGCGAGAAATGCGACCGCTTAGGGGCTGGTCGTCCGATAAGTAGTCGAATTCCTCAGGAAGACTTTCGTATAGACCCTCGTCAGCACTATCGTTTACACTTCTGGTTGAATACATCGAACTATCTTGAGGACTGAAATTCCTTATTTCACGCATTCCGACTTTGTACGACGGCTTCCGCGTCACCGACGGTTTACGTTTTTCTGGAGGCACGAAAATCATCGGGTCCAATTTCAGTGCGCGTAGAGATCGAGCCGGCCGGCTAACCACAACTTGATACAAGTCACTCCTCGCCGTACTGCCACCTTTAACGTTTTTTTTAGATTTGGATCCCTTGTTCTTTTTCTTACGACTGCTTTTTCTACGAACCGAGTTCCTTTTGGTTTCAGTCACTAACAACGCGCCACTAGTCCGTTTGAAATAACCATCCCTACTAACAGATAACTTTGGTTTAGGCCGCTTTTTCCGAAAGAAACCCCTAGAAGATGGCGCGAAGTTCGCGTGAAAGTCACTTAGTTTTGGCGCCGATATAGAAAACGAAAAACCAGAGTCTTTGCTAGAGAATAACCCTGTTGAAACGGTGGTATTACTCGTGGAAGATAGTGTTCTCGCAACGGGCGGGGTGGGTCTTTTTTGAAGTCTATTTATGAGCGGATCGTCCCTTAAATCCTTTAACGCACTATCTAACGAATGGTGAGCGGGCGGGGCGGCTGAACCTGAAGTTCTTGGCATCTCCAAACTTCTCGGAGCCATAGCTTGAGGAGCGTCCATCCATATCCTGCCTAAGCTTATGGACAAAGAACACAATTCTTCCGCCCCCGAGTCGGGCATCAAAGGAGCGGGAGACTGTCTCGAACGCCTTATAATTAACGGAGACTTTTTAACGTCGGTTGAATCACCCCAAGGAAACATCTCAACAGCGGAATCATTGCTTTCTTTCCTTTGCAGATTTGGACTAACTGATTTAACATTTTGTTCTCTGGGTACGGCCGACTTTTTCCTAAAAACCGGTGACGATGAGAGTTGTCGTATAACTGGAGAAGGAGCTCGTTCGTCCGACGCGGGTACGTAAATAATTGTCCTCTCGGAGCCTTTAATCCCGCTTTGACACGGAGTGTCATCTTTACGGATACCCTTTAACCACTGACCGTAGGCTATAACACTTTGTCCAGGTCCACTTTTCGACACCTCGTTCTTGAACTTGCTGCCATACTTACTTTCCTTTTTAGAAGTGGACTCGACAGAAGATGACTTTAAGTCTACCTTATCCACCTGTATGGAACAGTCCACCTTCTTGGTTTCTTCTTGTATATTAAACAAATCGTCTTCAGCCACTGTCTGAGTGGCCACTTCCAGTTTCGAGATGTGTTTCTTTTTACCTCGATCTAAGTAACTTTTGCGGATCGATATCCTTTTAAAGGAATCACTTCTTTTGAAAGACGACTCCTTTTCCTTTTTTTTACGACCTCCGCCAACTAAACGGCGAAGGTTTTCGAATGTAATAGGTTTCATTATTACTTCTTTATTCTTTGAGTATCAAGTGGCACTTGTACCCCTGCATAGCGTCCACAGCTCACAATGGTTGTCATTGCGATATTTGAACGCTATTTGTGTTGCCATATAAACGTCTACTATCTTTGTGGCATTGTTTGACATCGATCCTTCACGTCGGACCTAAGAAAGTGTACTTTAGTGTGATTACATTGTCGTTAGTATTGCGTGAGAATTTTTAAATACCAGTCACATCGTATATCGGTATACACAAATACAAAATTATATTAAAAAATAGTTACAGTCTTTTAATTACTGTTTTTCATAATTGTGGAGTGGAGTCAAGATAGCTTAAAATTACGCTTTATTTCGAAATAATTATGGGAAGCATGGATTTTCCTAAAACCTTTTGAAATTACTTGGAGATAAGTATTAGAAAAAAGTTATAAACTTATATTTGTACGCTAATGTATTTTAATTGTTTAAATAATAATAAATAGTTTTTTTAAGAACATAATTCAATGAATTTTAAATCGAATTATTTCAAATTGAAAATATAGGGGTTTTCGATGTAGCTGAACAAGGATATAATGTCGGAAAATGAAAATTCAAAATGGCTGATCCAATATGGCCAACTATTTAAAACAATTTATTTAACAATTATTGATTTTAAATCAAACTCGCTTATATTTGTAATACATGGGTTTTTGACGTCGCTAAACAAGAATATGATGACAAAAAATTAAAATTCAAAATGGTTGATCCAGTATGGCCGACTATTTTAAACAATTTATTTAACAATTAATTATCGATTTTAAATCAAACTCGCTCATATTTGTAATATAGAGGTTCGAAAAATTGAAATTATAAATGGCTAAAGAGGTTTTATTGAAGATATGTTTTATTTTTTATAGAACAAATTTATTACAAAATAATTAATTTTTAAATCTCATCGAGTTCTTGCTCTTCTTCGTCCCCTATTATTTATTTATTCATTAATTATTTTAAAAATGGATCAATATTCATATATAAATATTAAAATATTATTAAATATTATCAAACATTTACAGGTTTAGCATAAAAGAAAACGAATATAAATACCTTAAATGCAACTGAAGATTATTTGTAATACCTATTAAGTAATAATATTACATTAAAGAATTATAAGTGTACGAGAGTACAACCTTAAAATGGACAAAATATGTGAATAATACACTTTTTAACACACTGATAACTGCAGCTGACTCGAAAACATAAAAATCATATTCTTATACCATTTATAATAATTATTATTTAATTCTTATTAACGAAAAACGCTTTTAAAATAAATAAAACTGATTATACTCACATCTGTGTCTACATCAATAAGAGAACTTATATCCACAATTTCAGATACAGAATATACGTTTTGAAAATGAATATTAAATCAATTCATCAAAAAACGTTATTTTTTTGCTGTTATAACAATTTTTCATTTATTACTATAAATAAAAAAATATTTTTCGCTGAATTTACTTTTTTAAGGTCTTAACTGAATTCTTTGAAGGTTTATTAAACAAAATTTTTTTTTGTACATTATTAAACTTTATTTAACAAAAAATGTCACGGATTTTTCATGAAATATTTTTATTTTTTGTTAATTTTTGTTTTTTCAACTATTATTTCAATTTTTTAAGAAAAATAAAATGCACCATCTTAAAGTAGAGGTTTTAAGCTTTAAAAAGTTCTCTCATAAAGTTTCAATATCACATTTACAACTACAGTTTTTGATCTATAAACTATGGCCTATTAAAATGTTAAAGTGATTTTTTAAAATTATCGAATATGTCGGGCTCAATATTTTTCATATTAAATTTTTAAGATTTTTTCCATATCCCTCAGTGTTTCAATCGTCATTTGAAGAGTAATCTGTGAAAGTTACAGATATTTATTTTAAAAATTGGAAGAATGACAGCTATTTTATTATTATTGTACAAAATTATAGAATGACGTAACATTGTATACGTACTATATATATTTTTTTCTCAAGACATAAAATTTTAATAGCCGGATGACTCTTCTTTCATTTAAATTTTTGTGAGGTCGATTTGATCAATTAGATCAAAAGTTATAACAAATTTAGTGTAGCGCGCTCGGGGCCGCGCGCTCTTCGCGAGCTATACTTGGGGGGCCGCTCGAATCATTTTTCCTACGTTGGAAAAAAATTCTACAGCCTTCAATTCGCATTTTTGAAACAAACTTTATTAACATTTTTTATGTAAAATTTCCTGTTCTTTCGAATGGCGCAGTTAATTTTTTTTTTAATTATATTTTTTTATATATATTGCAAGAACTGCAATTTTGCAATTTGTTAAATAAATAATTTAGCGTACACTTTACAGTTAGTAACTTTTTATATATTGTTTCTGACAACTTTACAAAGCGAAAAATAAAAACTTCTCTCTTCCAGTAATTTTCGCGAAGTCAAAATCTATCTGGACTCCACTATATTACATATTAGTCAAGTGTATGAACTTAAAATTAAGAATTTAACATAGAAGTTATATTATTAATAGAAATTGCAATATTGTCAATAATAACAATACATATGTGTGAGTTCGAGGAATGAGAAAACTGAAGCAGCAGCATTCGAAAGAAATCTGGATTTTCTGATATTGTTAATATACAGGATGTCCCAATATTCCGTGTACACGGAGTTATCGCAGTTTTCTGTTCAATTAAAATAAGTAGTTAGGTTTAGTTAAAACTGTTTATTTTGACAGCAGGAAATTGTGGGAGCTCAAAGTACACGGGATATTTGGACACCCTGTATATAAAATAAAAATCATACCTGTGACAGGAATGTTTAGAAAAAAAGGAAATACCAGACCATGAGTAATGAGTGAAATATTATTACTATTTCTGTTATTGTTTTCTACATTAAAACGATAAATATCAATAAATCGATGCGCTTAAGCATTTTTTAGCTTTTAATCCTCGCCCGGTATAAATATTCAAATAGGAACTTTATAAAACAATTTATTTTTCTTGCAGTACATTGGCACTGCGGCAATTATACACGTAATTTACCTACTGAAATTCAGGACGACAGTTAAAATAAATTACAGCCAATTAGTGTAAAAATGTTTACGCAAAGTCCGGCAATGGCAAACGATAATGGCTTTGAGGAATGTAGAAAAGTTCGAAGATACTGGAATACTGAATGAATACATGTAGTAAATTAGAACGAAATATGTGGTTTGGTCGTTACTGACAACAATTGAGAAAATCTACAATGAACTTTTTTGTTAAAAATTTATTATACATATTTTAGGTTATGTAAAGATAATTTAAAATATAAAAATTTTCCTAAAATTTTAACAACTGATGGGATATACAGGCTGTCCACTTAACATTTTCATTGGTATTTAAATGATGTAGGGACATGACACGCCATAGACCTAACAAATATTAGAATTCTAGTGACAGAAAAAGATGAAGTTTTTTGAAATTGAAAAAATCGGTTAGAACCTGTAATAAAAATATGAGTTTTCATTTAAGGAGGTTCGATACCCAAAAAAAAATGGTAAGAAAGTTTTCAGTCATTGAAATCTGTTAATAAATTTGCCAACTGCCTCGTGTAAAAATATCAGATCGATTGCCAATAAATTTTTTTTGAAAAATGATATTAAAAATTACACTCTTTTACACAGGCTCTTCTGCGAGTTGGGAAAAAACTTTAATCAAACGTGAATATTGCTCTTAAAAATGGTTAGGATGGGGAAAATAAAATTGTAATTACAGAATTAAATATTACTAAACATTTTAAAACAATAAAAATATGCACTTACAATGTAATTATTGAGATAATGTAATAAATATATATGTTTTGACAAATTTGAACAAACATCTGATCCAATGAAAGGAAATATGACAACACTGTACGCTGTATTTAAAGCTTTGACTGACGCGCTATTTTTGAATAGCTCGATTATCTTATATATAAAATTCTCGTGTCACAATGTTCGTTCCCGTACTCCACCGAAACGGCTGGACCGATTTTGATGAAATTTTGTGTGCTTATCTGGCAGGTCTGAGAATCGGCCAACATCTATTTTTCATACCCCTAAATGTTAAGGGTGGTCCACCCCAAAATTTTTTTTTGTTGTTTTTTTGGACAAAATTTAATTTTTTTATTTTTTTATGATGTGGCCTTAAAAAATACATGTAATCCTAAATTTTCACCCTTCTACCATCAACCCTTATTTTTTAATAGCGATATTAGTAATTCAATAATTTTCAACCCCGGTCGATAACTGATCAATTATCACTTGATCATTTTTTTTATCCCCGCCAGGCGTCGACCGGTGTCACTTCTGACCCAGTAAACAGCACGGAGTAGGGATGAGATCTCTCTCACACAATGAGCCGTTTCTCACTCCCTACAGTTTTCGGCCATTATTATTATTGTTTGTGCATCAACCGTAATAATGACATTTACTATTACTATTAATAAAAAAAATATACACGATATACACTGAATAACACTAAATATAATATAGATGGTAGAAGTGAAATTTCTTTATGAAAAAACTACTAAAATAATCCTAGGATTAATTTATATGGCAAAACAACGTTTGCCGGGTCAACCTAGTAGACTATAAAATTATTCCAGCGAAAACATATGTAGTAATGATTAATATTAAATAAATTTTTCGTGATCTAATGCAATATAATAGCAATTTGAAAAAAAAATTGAAAGGATGTCTTTGCAAAACGAACAGTGTAGATGTTCTCTCATAAGGTCTGTTCCAACAAGAGTCAGGGATTGGTTCCGAACCGTTTGAGATGTTTGGTCAGCTAAGTTTTAAATGTGTATTCAGTGAATATATCGCAAGAATTAGTTGGATGCACATTTCTGACGGTTCGGAACCAATCCCTGACTCTTGTTGGAACAGACCTATATAATCTTCAATTTGACAAGGGGATGTCACTATCTCTCTCACTATCATACATTGAGCTTCTTGATAGGTATCATACGGATTCTCGGTTTGCACATTTTACTTTTTTCTTATCACATTCTGCTTCATACGCATTTTATATTGCTTTTCAGTCATTACTTTTCCTTTGTATCTTGGATGTTCATTCATGTTCACGGAATACGCGCAAAACACAGTTGATAGTAATGACAGTTGACCCAACTT